GTAAGAAACGATAAATCCATATTTTTACCATATTTGTGTTGATTTTTTGATCTGATTTTTTAATATTAATTTAATTTTGATTAAACATTTACAAAGTTTTTTAAATCATAAATGAAAGTTCTTACAGTGTATTTAAATAAAAATCAAAAAAATCTGACTTTTTTGATTTTTTTTAAAAAAATCACAAACCCTGCTTCAAACAGAATTTTAAAAACCTATATGTCTTATTATTTAAGAGTTGGCTTCAACGGTATTTGATTAAAAATATTAGAATGCTATTATTTTCAATGTGAATTTGATATATGTTTTTAGTAGCGCGCATATTTAAAATGTGATTTATTAATTTAGTAAAATTAATACAATTTTATTAATATTTTAACAATTCTTCCTATATTTATATTAGATTTTACTACATTCATTTACAAAAAATATTGCAATATTACGGTTAATTTCTCAAGAAATTCATATATTCTTTTCTCGCTAATTGCTGTTTATTTCATGTTTTTGCTTATTTAAAAATGATATATTTAGCTTCAAAAATTAATACTATTATTTAAACTGAATTTCAAGCATAAACTATTTAAAAAATGTTTTTTTATTTGATATTTCATTTTTAAGAAGGGTTTCTTCCACTTTTTACAATTGGGTTGGAAGAAACATTTCTCTCTGAAAGATTTTTTCTATTGTTTTTTCCAATGTGGAAGAAACTTGCCATCCTTGTTGATTTGCAACCCCAAAAACGAATGTTCCAATTAATGTCAATTGAAATTATTAAGATGTTAAGAAATAGATTAAACAGGCTAAGAAATCTATTTCCAAGAGACAACTATATAATTTTAGTTCAATACCATAATATAATCAGAAATTTTAAAGCAGTGATTATGGAATACATGATAATTTACTAGTTCTTTTCAATTGAAGCATTTAGTTATATGCTACAAGGCAGGGAATTCGATGTCATTGGCTGGTTTTTGATATCACAAGAATCAAAAACTAGTTTAACCCCTTCCTCCTTACTCCCGTGAAAATGACGGAGTCAGGTTCTGCCCTCTATTTCTCACTCCCTTGAAATTCCCGGGCTGGAGTGTTTAATAGTAATGCGCCAATAAGAATAAAACTAATTTATTTCTTTTGCCCGTAAAAAAATTTATTTCTCATTTTACACACCAGATGGTAGTACCAAGATATTTTTAAGGTAATTGCAAATAGTTAGTTTATTTTAAAACAGATGTCAGCACTAATCAAATACATGTATTTGGCAAAATAGGCACTTTTATGACCGTTTCTTGAGAATTAGCCGATCGTTAAGAGATTAAACAATTAAAAACCTTATACTTACAAAACCATTACGCATGTTCACTTTTTTTATTAAATACTTAAAACATTGAAACTATACTAATGTATGCTGAAATATTAATTTTAAATTAACAATACTGTAAAACCTCAAATCAATTATCCGATGCTCGATCATACCATACTGACAAATCATTACACCCTGACACACGTGCTACCATTATGATGTCATGTTTGATGTAATTTAACTACTGTGACGACTAATCTGAAATTCAGGTGCTAGGAAATGAAATTTAAAAAGGTAATGTATTAAAGTTTATTTTTGCATGACACTGTATCTTTATTCATGCTAAAAAATAAAACACATGTGTTCATTTTTTAAACTTAATAATAGCCACTATTGATTCAGACTTAAGAAGGTCCCTCGATTAACCCACTTACCCCTCATTTTGATTATCTGACATACTTCTGATGCCAAAGGAATTGGATAATCAGGGTTCTACCGTACCATACTATAATACAGTCGAAACTCATTAACACGAAACCACTTAATGTGAAATATCGCTTTACAATGAAATGCATGTTTGGTCTCGTGAGTCAACAATCAAAAATTATTGTATTTCACATGTTTAACATGAAATTTTCAAGCTGATTATCACTTAACATGAAAGAAAACTGGACACAGCACAGATAATCACGTGAATAAATTCCAAATCGTTCATTTTGAGGAAAACTATATCGATTTTCTTCCCTTGTCATTAGCAGATGGACAAATAAATAAAATAGTTTAATAAAGTAGTTGAAACTTTTAAGCTTATTTTAATTTTTTGATTTATAATACATAGTATTGTTTACATACATTAATTTATAACATTACATGTATTAATAATACGTAATAAATTGTCTTTCGTGATGTATCGGATAAAACAAAATTTGTTTAATATGAAATACATAATTATAATAGTCCGGCAATTTTGCGTTAATGAGGTTGGACTGTATTTATGTTGATTCTATCATACAATATTATTTTAATGTTAATATAGTATGGTATAATAGGATATGAATTTTTAAGCAAAAGCATGAATAGGAAGACTTAGGTATCAGTATATGCAAAAAAATCATTGCACAATTGTAATAAATTTAGGCGGCTAAAAAGCTAAGATTTTAGGAAAGTACTTTTGAAAATCAAAAACAGGTATTTTGATTAAAAAATTTCGATTTAAAAAAAAAAATATTTCCTTATAAAATTTTTCCTTTAAAATCATAAAAAATTATTTATTGATAATCTGAAAATATCTAGGCCACAGCACATAAATTCTGGACAGTGGTGTGTGAAATAATATACAAAAGCACCACAAAATAAGATCTGCTTTAAGGGTATAACTTTCTCAGTTAAACCACTGCATATTATTTATCAAAAATTTTGCAAAGTTCAAAAACCAATTTGGCACCTTGGTGATAATAGTTAGAGTGAATATCTTCACTTTCACTCAAAAATACTTTAAATATAGATCACTACAGATATGCTAACAAAAGATCTACCTGTAGTACTGTACTATGAAGTTGCTTTAAAGACGTTTTAATGATAGAAAAAGATCTTAATATATTCTAAATATCATTTATGTCACCATTACTTTACGTAAAGGAACAAGTTAATATAACTTGTTATTTAATTGTTAAATTACTAGAGGTGCAGATTCCTCAGAATCCTTTCCTATTTCATTTTATTAAATGTGCGAGATTTTTTTTTTTTAAGCCAATTCTGTTTATAAACTAATCCAATACCTTTATTTTGATTTTATGCAGTTGTAATACTTTAATATTTAAAAAAATTAACATAATTGCAAAATATTTATGATTTTATTAGGTAAAAGAGAAAGGGCTAGAGTAGACATCTTTAATAACTTTTCATTTATTAGTCAAATTTTCTCTGAAAGATATTGTAGATTGGTAACATTGATGTACAATTCTATGCGCTGTTGGACAATCAGACTGTGAATACTAAATTTTTAAAAATGTAAAAGATGTTTTTAAGGTGCAAAAGTAGCTTTCAATTTTTCTCTTTTATTAATATATTTTATTTTCAGAATTTCAACAAAAGGTGACAATATGTTATAAATATATGGCTTTTCACCTACTTTTATATTAACTTTTGCATTGTATATTTTCATTTAACCAGCATTATGCAAAAACAAAGACATGTCTTTATAAGGCAAGGTAGTAAGGCTAGTATGGAAACTAGTAAACACTGCCTCTATTTAACTTCCAATGGAAGAAATATAATTTGGTTAAAAATTTAATACATTTCATGTTATTTATTTTCTAAGTTAAAATGATTTTGTAGAATGATATACTTTTACAATTAGTGGTCTTAAAACAATCAATGGTTAATCGTGTAAACTAAGTTCATATAGTCAAAATTCACCATAAGACTTCAGGGTTACTATTTTTGACTGATTTTTACGCCTAAGCTTGAAAAAAAAAACTCCGTCCAATTCTATCATACTTTTAATGTTTTCAATATAACAAGTTTTTTTAAATTTAACATTCAACGAAACAAACAGCAAACGAATTCGTAAGACTTTGCAAGCTTGCTATGATGCTACCTAAAAAAATAACAAATGGCACTATTTTACACATATCAAGTCAAATAAGTGTTAACACTCAAAAATGTTGAAAACCTTACACTTTATTTATGATGTGATTTTAATTTTATTAAATTTGTTTCAGGCTCACAAACTGTTAGAATTTATAAATAACAGAAAAATCTTATGAATGGTAAAATTAAACGTAAATTTAAACACAAATCACAATAATAAAACTTTCTGGAATATTAAGGCTGTTCACACATCGTCTCATAAGCATAACATAAGGGGAGGGATTAAATTTCTTCCGGTTTCAGGAAACTTATTATTGTTTACATTCAGTCAACCATCTATAAGTAAAAAATTTAGCACAGAATTCTTTCATTAATTCACTTTATAAAGCTTTGAAGAAAATTTAGAAGGGATATTTTATCAAGTTTGTTAAAAGAATAAAATTTAATATAGATTTAACATAAATTATAAACTAAAACAGAGTATTAACAAACTGTATCTCAACTCTTTTGTAAGTTGTTTTCATGCACTTTGTGTGTTGCTCATTTGAGCCATTTACATCATTAAGTTAAAACTATGGGTATTAAAATTGATACAACTTAAAATTTTGGTTCCATGCTTTCAATTAAATCATGTTGAATAATAATTTACAAATGCATTGAATTATGTTCAAAACGTCTTTATCATAGTAAAATGCTTTATCACAAATTAGTATTTTAATTAAAATTGGTCAATATTTATTCTCCGAGGCTTAGATTGAAATTGATTTCAATTACAACTTTTGATTTCAGTTATAACTTTCTGAGTTGAAATAAATGACTACTTAAGTTATCAAATTTGGACACACTAGGGTTGGTAAGGACAAAAACAGCCCTTTATATAAAATAAAAAAAAATTATAATGGATTAACTAAATAATTTTGTAATTCAAGATATAAACGAGAATGCAGGTAATTGTTCAAATGGTTAAAAAAAAAAGATACTTCCTGAATTATATTAAATATAGTTTTTTTGAGAAGTTTGAAAAAAATGTCCACACTAGCCGCCCTCTCTCTTATATTGTAAATGTCGGGGAGATTTCTATATCAGAACGTGCTTGCATGTTACTTACATGCAGTTAATAATGAAACGGCATGACAGGATGAAGACAGGTAAAACAACCATACACAAAATCATACTAATACTAAGCTCATTTGGCAAATAATTCATTATAAGGTGTCTTAAATATTTTAAGTAGATAACTTTATCATCTATTTCTTCTTTATTGTTCATTATTTTAATTGAGACTACGAAAGAAAAATACTGGGCAAGTTTTACAACTCTGGGGCAGTGTTCTTTGTTTTTCTTTCAGCAAATTTTAAATATAAATATTTACCATGGCAAACAAGGATAGACACGGCATGCCCAAAAGAGAAGAAAATCAGGGTCCTCAATCGTGGTTGCCGGGAGAAAAGTGTTGCACCAAGCAGACTCCTCAATTCTGCTTTTAACATGTAAAGTCTATGGCGGGCTTGTCATAGTACTTTGAATCGATTTTTCTTGTTTAAGAATCAGAGTGATCAATTTAAAAAAAATACTAATAATTTTTTCAATCCTTCCTTTCCACGAAAATGTAGGTCATTTTTTTTTTATCTTTATTACTTTTTATAATATTGCCTTTGAAACTCAAGTCACTTTCTACCTTTGAGTAAGGGAGGAAGGCAACTTCCACCCCCAAGTTCATTTTCCAGGAGAAGAGGGCGGCTAATCTTCCTCCGTAGGTGGTCCTCCCTCCCTCCCAGGGCCGTAACTACGCCGGGGCAGACGGGGCACCGCCCCGGGTCCCCGACGGTCAAGGGGGCCCCATATGAAAAGACTTTTTTTTTTCAAAATAAAGCACTCTAATTATATATATGTAGTAATCTAATTATATATGTGTATCTAATTATATATATGAAATTGTGTTAAGATAGAGTTGATGAAA